AAATTTTTCTTACTCCAAAAGGGCATAACTCTGTCAAAAATGGTGCAATCCTATCCAAAACGAAACTTTCTCTAGATATTAATCTGATGTATATGTATACCAAATTTCAGTATGTGCAGCGGTTTGGAAGAAAATGAATGGAAAGTAAGTCAACCGACAGACAGCAGCAAAGGAATATGCCCTCCCCTCTTCAAAGGGACCGGGCATAAAACCATTAAATCTGCTCCAAAAAAATATTAACCTGCATGGTCATTCCTTTGCTGAAATTGCAGCATCTGAACACTTGGCTGGTACAAGGAAACACACATAAAGCACCCTCCGTGCTTCTATGGCTTATGTATAGGGCGTAGAAGTACATGTACTTAAAAGAAAACTGGACCAATAACTTTAACCTGGGACGCCAAGGGTATCATATTGTCCACTACAAAAATTTGAATTTTTCAATTAAAATTTGTATATTACAATTAATTTTAATTGAAAATTTCAAATTTTTGTGGAGGACAATATAAACTCCCCCCTGACCAACTTCGTTGAGGTGAGCTAAAAATGTCTTCTTGCAAAATAGTTTAAAGTTTGTTCAAGTTGGACCTGTAGGTGTTTGGACTATTGGCTGTTTGACATATTTGTCTTGTAAATTTATATCAACTACACAGTATATGTAACCCAATGTAGCTGACTCCTGTGAGACAAATCAAGCATCATAAGCTGCAGCTGTCTCCCGCCATTTTTGGTCTACTTTATCTGCAATATTTAGAGCTGTCTTTTTTTTTTCAACAATATCCATTAGTTAAACATTATTACATACAAGCATTACAACACCTTACAAAAGTACAATACATCTGTCCTTTTTAAGTGCGACTAATCAATAGAAACGCGTGCTTCGATTAGAAACCGTGGCGCGAAAAATCGACCCACAATTCCCCGCCCTATCGATTCGTTAATTTTCGTTTTTATCTGTTGTTTTTCTTTCTTTGTCAATGTTATTATAAATTCATTAGGGCATTAAGATAGGTCTGCTTCTAAACATATAGCAAAGTACAAACATTTTCAACCAGACAGGATTCTGAATAAACTTCTGAATAAACTCGGATAGATTTATAGAGAATTTAAAATTTCCACTAAGTTTCCATATGGAAAAGAATTTGTGTTGTATCGGATGTGAAGGTTAATAAGTTTACTTTATACTTATCTCATAAAGCTTTAATTAAGCGTTAACGAAAATGTCTAAATAATTTAAGGGAATTGCAGATATTTTAAAAGGACAACTTCAGTGGCAATAAAAGAGAAGTATACTTACCTGCCGTTAAAAATTTCGTAAAAAACAAACATACTTGTATTTGTGTTTTTTTTTTGAGAGTGTATGTTTTAATGTCACTGATGGATTATGTCTGCCTCCAAGAGAAGTAATAGTGTTACCAGATCCCGCACCTCATCTGATTCAAACTCCGGACAAAGCACCCCAGGACACGGAACTAAAACTCCACGCTCATCTGCCAAATCTAGAATTTCATTTGCACGGTAAGTGATCGAGTGTTATATTTATTCAAAATAAAGATAATAAAATGTTTATAAATGTTGAAATATGATCACCTTTCCCAGTTTTAGATTACATCATCTCCAAATAAATTTAAACAATAAAATGACTTCTTTGTTTGTTATTACTGGAATTAAGGGAAGCAGCTGTTCCAGAAAAAATACATAACCCGTGGAAGCGGGTTATGTCATTTTTTTCTGCAATAGCTGCGACCGTTAATTCCAGTAATAACAAACAAAGAAAGACATTTTATTGTTTATATTTATGTCTGTTTAAATAATCATTTAAGGAGGAACAGCTAGGACCTTTAGCTGAAAAAATTTCCTGTCAATGAATTTTTTTCGTATTTTTTATATTACTAATTTGACATTGTGACGTCACACGAAAATATAAACATTCAAAATTATCTAAATAGAGAGAAGCTCTGCTGGTAAACACGAAAAATTATTAATTTAAAAAATCTGCTACAGAAATTTATCATGATACATTGACTGTGACCTGTTTATTATAAAATAAAACTGATCATGACGGGTGTGTGTACTTGATCTCGCTGCACTGAGAATTCAAACACTACGTCTATGACGTCACTAACGTCAGACTGCAGGGTAAAGAGAAAAAAATGTGTGGATTGGGCAACTTCACAATATCTAAATGATGGCAACATCTTTACAAACTTTATTAATAATAATTTCTAAAATTAAATGTTTAAAAAACAATTTTAGAATTAAGAATTAAATTACACAAGAATTGTTGATTTTAACAACGTTTAACATGTATATCACCACCGATTATGACGTAATATGTCTTTTTAGTCATGTGACATGTTCCCCGTCTCCCCTTAAAGAAGAATCGAAAAGATTAATAATTGTATTAATGATGCGAATGTCTTTATACGTGTCATTGATGGAATAGCCACTGATCAGGAAGTCTGTACAGGCGACATGCCTAATGCAGTTCATACAATGATTAACGTAATAGGTTTTCTTAAGAAATAATTGAGAAAATATTCAGTGGATGTAAAATATTACTTGTATTAATCTTTAGTTTTGAATTTATTACCATACCAAAATCATTTAATTAGGAACCTATTTTTTGACAAAAACAGTCAATTTTCCTTCTTTCGAAGTATTCACTTTTAAGTTTGGATTCCTAATGAAGCCTGCCCACAGAGTAGATTGTGCAGTGAATTGTTCTACGCTGGTCCTAAATTATAAATACTAAATTAAATGTCATGAATTCTGTCATCATATTTGGCAAATATATCAAATAGATTGCGAAAGTCCTTGAAATAAAATTAAATAGCCTAATATAAGCTTAAAATTAGCACTATTTTAGTAATATCTATAAATTAACATCACAGCCCCCACTTTTAATTTTATTTTCTGCATATATGACAATTTTATGTTCTCTACTTAATTTCAGAAAAATGCCATTACTTTCAATTGAATTTATTGTATTTCATAAACTATGAGTACTACCAACAAAAATATTTAAACCGACAATCAGAATTGTAACTAGTAACTTTTTCCTAATGAGGTCTGCTTTATATTCGGACAGAACATAATTAATTGAACATATACAGCATGCGTTTCATTGGTTTGATACCTTAATTGAGGTTAAAAAGGGAATTTCTCACCGATTACATCAGCATATAAGCTCTGTATTCATACCCAGCATGTCATTTTTTACTGCCCCAGCTTTAATTATTCTATTCAAAACGATCGATTTATACTAAATATGTTACGGTGTCGCTCGAGGCATATCTAAAATGTGTATCATTTTAAATTAAAATTGATCAATTTTGGGTTTGAAAACAGAATTACAAGGGAAAAAAAGTTAAGTTTTTTTTTTGGTATTAAAAAGGATAACGGGATGAATTCTGAATAATTTCCAAAGATTTCAAGTCTCTTCGGAATGAGAATGGACAAATATAATTTACTGAATCAACATGAACGAATCAGATCAAACAGGGAGTGATTTCGGTGTAGAACATACACTATATTTGAAACTGATACCTTCGATTATGTATCAAACTACAAACTATTTAATATATTCTTCATAACCTGCCCGAATCACTACCACTTCATAAAAAGCCGGGTGACTGTTCACAGCCCCAATAAAACACCAATAAAACTGACCACTGTATGGTCATTATCAAAACTGGACAAACAAACCGACAGACAAGATTCAACGGGCCAGTCATTCTAAAAATGTTACATGATTTCCTAGTATGGAGAAGTAGGCCAAAAATCTGAGCGTATGATTTGAAGGGATAGATGAGCAGGGTTAAATTATTCACATCACGATGCAAATTTTAATCGCACTCTCGAGAGGGAAATCAATGATAGTTTCTGATTACATGTAAACCTCATAAATTTCTAGTGACTAATCACCGTGTTCTAATACAAAGTATTTTATAAAGAAGTAGACAGCTGTGATCTGAGGGATCTTATATATATATATTAAAAATGTTACCAACTGTTCGAAGAGGATCTCTTGTAAACCCGGGCGCGGATCTCAGGAGAAATTCCATGACATTTGGGAATGTGGAATATTTGAGATCAAGGCGATCAAGGTAGGAGATTCAATATCTAGAAAGAGCATTTTAAATTAAAATCGATCAATTTTCGGGTGGGAAACAGATTTGCAAGGGGAAAAAAGGTAGCCGGGTAAATTCTGAATAATTTCTAAGGAACGCAAGTCTCTTCGGAATGAGAATGGACAAATGATTTAATGAATCAAAATGATTTGGAGCGAACAGGGAGTGATTTCGGTGCATAAAATATACACTATATTTAAAAACTGATACTTTTGACTAATATGCAATTGACTAGACTTCAAACTATCTTACATATCCTTCGTTAACTTGCTTGAATCATTACTTCATTATAAGCCTTGTTTTCGAGGAGTGGTCCGCGTGTTTATGGTGGCATATTTATACCATCCACTTAATTTTTTTTGTTAACATAGCACTTCATTTCATATCAAGATAATTGTCTCATTAAGTCATGACAACTTTCTTGTCTTTCGAAAAATACCGACTTTATTTCTTGTTCAGTCAGGATAAGATATCACATTAAAATTATTGTTATAAGAAATACTTAGTAACTTTAAGTCACAATACAAGATAAATAGTCTCTTTTTTGTCGAGATAGCTTTAGCAAAAATACGATAGCTTAGCCTTATCTTCACTGTCCAAGATCTCATCTACGGGTAAAAATTTAAGTCAGCGACCCAACGTTGATTTTTTATGCCCGCTCAGCAAAACATTAGAAATGTTAAACTTTTTTCTTATAGATTTGAATAGGAAAAAAAATTTCAAATGTATAGCATTTCATTTTATCAAATAATTCTGCAGCATGAGACTGTTATGCTGCAGATTTTATTAAATAAAATGAAATATGTCAAAAAAAGAACACGTTCCGCATATGATATTCTTCTGGGATAAAAAAACTGCAGGATAAAGTTACTTTAAAAACTACAAGTATATTTTATTCTTTATCAAATCCTAACAGTTGCATAAACATGATCTTGTCCATGTTGTCAATATATAGTGTCTATTCTCACCTTAGTATTATTAATATTACTGTGAGTGCTATCATTTCCAAGAAAAACAAGACTTTTCTTTGTAATACATATACATACAAATTTTCAAACACCTTCAAAATGTATAAGTAATTAAGCTCTGATGAATACTTAACATTTTATTTCTTATGACATGCATTCATTTGGTTTTGAAATAAGCTAAAGACCTGTAAATTTCATTAACTTTATGACCTACTGAAACTTGCACGATTATAACACGTCTCTGTAAGAAATGTATTTCATTGTCATCACTAATAAGCACATGCATGCATACATTTGAACTGTTGTCACTGTATATCCTCATGCATCTCTGCAATAATTATATATATCTAAATACTGACAAACATATTACATCCCACTGACATTAAATTTAAGACTATGTGTCCTCCTGTGTCTCTGTAAGTCACCTGACTGGTTGAATGCCTTCCCACACACATCACATTTATAAGCCCTTTCACCTGTATGTGTCCTCATGTGCTTCTGTAAGTGACTTGAGTGGCTGAATGCCTTTCCATACACATCACATTTATAAGCCTTTTCACCTGTATGTGTCCTCCTGTGTCTCTGTAAGTCACCTGACTGGTTGAATGCCTTCCCACACACATCACATTTATAAGGCTTTTCACCTGTATGTGTCCTCATGTGATTCTGTAAGTGACTTGAGTGGCTGAATGCCTTTCCACACACATCACATTTATAAGCCTTTTCACCTGTATGTGTCCTCATGTGTATCTGTAAGTTACCTGATTGGTTAAATGCCTTCCCACACAAATCACATTCATAAGGCTTTTCACCTGTATGTGTCCTCATGTGCTTCTGAAAGGTACTTGAGTCGCTGAATGCCTTCCAACACACATCACATTTATAAGGCTTTTCACCTGTATGTGTCCTCATGTGCTTCTGTAAGTGACTTGAGTGGCTGAAGGCTTTTCCACACACATCACATTTATAAGGCTTTTCACCTGTATGTGTCCTCATGTGTATCTGTAAGTTACCTAAGCGGTTGAATGCCTTTCCACACACATCACATTTATAAGGCTTTTCACCTGTATGTGTCCTCATGTGTGTCTGTAAGTGAGCTGATTGGTTGAATGCCTTTCGACACACATCGCATTCATGAGGCTTTTCACCTGTATGTGTCCTCATGTGATTCTGTAAGTTCTGTAAGGTGTTGAATGCCTTCCCACACACATCACATTTAAAAGGCTTTTCACCTGTATGTGTCCTTATGTGTGTCTGTAAGTTACTGAAGTCATTGAATGCCTTCCCACACAAATCACATTTATAAGGCTTTTCACCTGTGTGTGTCCTCATGTGACTCTGTAAGTTATTTAACTGGTTGAATGCCTTCCCACACACATCACATTTATAAGGCTTTTCACCTGTATGTGTCCTCATGTGTTTCTGTAAGTTACCTGACTGGTTAAATGCCTTCCCACACGAATCACATTTATAAGGTTTTTCACTTGTATGTGTCCTCGTGTGACTCTGTAAGTTCTGTGAGTGGTTGAATGCCTTTCCAGTTCCATCACATTTATATGGCATATCACCTGAATGTGTTAACAGATGCCTGTATAAATATTTACTCTGAATAAACACATTTATATCATAAACAGTACATTTATCATGTTTATATAGATTTGTTGAAGAATCTTGTCATTCAAATTTGTATTGTTACATGAACAAAATCAGTCACATGGTTTTTTGTTTGATAAAACATAATTTTTCAGAATGTTATTTGCATTTACCTCTTATTAGTTCTATATAAATTTTAGCTTCCCGCCCTGTATCTTTTTTCTTAGAGGATATAGGTTTTGATGTACAATCAGATATAGTGATGTTCTTACACACTGGAGCATCAGTAAGGATATCCGAAGAAATTCTTTTCTT